AAAGTCAAGCAAAGTGTTTTGAGATATACAATGTGTCCCTTGTATATAATTTTTAGCCTCTGGCACGAGTTATAGTGTATTTTGTTTTAGTTTTATATTTTATTTTTATCAAGACTCTCACACTTAATAATAGATCGTTATTCTGTATAATTAGAAGTTTTCGTCTAGTTAGCAGGTTTTCTTCTTTTTAGCAATAGTTTCTTTTAGATTTTTGGTTTAGTTTTTTTATATTCCTTAGTATTAGTATCCATTTTCTTTGATGTATTTGTTTATATTATATACCCTTTTTTCATTCCCTATTATTCCCCTTTTTTTTTTCTTTTTTCCTTCTTTATGAGAAAGTGTCATCAGTTTGATGGCATTCTATTGTAGAGCAGGAATCTTGGTGGGGCGAGCAACAGCCAGCCGAGGAATCTGGGGGAAATAAGTCCGGAGTGAGTTCCGGATCTCTGAAGGAGGCCAAGTGTTGCTAGGCAGGTTGCATCTAGGCAAAACACATCTGTTTAATGGTTCACCCTGACCACAAGTGGATGTTTCAGCATCTGCGAGGTACGCCGGGGATGAGTTTACTCTTTGGTTGGAACACTTATAGATTTTAGATTTCTTTGTATGCTGATGTAGAATGAAAGTCTGTTTCCATAATAAAGTAAACAGGATTGCCGAAGGAAAAAAAACAAAATGGCCAGTAGCAGGTGCATTACCTAATTGTAAGGCTGAAACTGTAGCATTCTTCCTTGTGAACGAAATTATTAGTAGATATGGGTGCCCAAAAGAAATAGTATCTAATTAAAGAACTTATTTCAAAAATACAATAATAACTGACCTTTGTCAACGGCTGGGAATTAAACACACTATGTCATCAAGTTATCACCCTCAGACAAATGGTCAAGTTGAAAGATTTAATTGAACACTTTGTGGAATACTAGCAAAATGTATTATTTAATATAAAGAGGACTGGAATGAGTTTGTTCAATTGTCTTTGTTTGCTTATCGAACAATGCAACATGTGATTACCAAATATAAACCATTTTTCCTAATATATAGTCAGAAAGCATGATTACCCATAGAATTGGATGTGAAGACTTACCCAACTGAACAAGCTGAAGAGGAGGAACAAACAGTTATTTTTAGAAGAATTGTGATTTTGATAGACAATTTGAAAGAAGCTCAAATTACCGCTCTAGGAAATATGAAACGGTCTCAAACAAAACAAATAAAAAATTATGCTCAATGATACCCCTTACACAGCTTTACTATTGGGGATAAAGTCTGGCATTATAATGCTCGAAATGCCACCAGAAAAGGTGGAAAGTTAGAGGCACAGTGGCTTGGACACTATTGAATACATGAAGTATTTAATAATAGAACATATAAACTAAGAACGTTAGACAGAAAAGTATTAGTAAAAAGTGTGCATGGTAATTTGCTGAAACCACATATGAACAAGAAGTGGCATTATTCCCCTTCGCAATACAAATATAAAAAGAAAGAAAAAAATAAAAAATAAAAAAAAATGAAACAACGACTTGAATCTACTCGACCCTATATACAAAAATTGGCTGCGGTATTAGAAATCGGAGAAGAAATAACCATGGACTGTGATCAGGTGACACTCAAGAATTTTGATCAGGAAATTTCTGAATACATTATTTTACCTGAAAGAAAAACTTATGCTAAACGGATTAGAGAAAATATGCACAAGTATTTACAGAATCTTAATCATGGTCATCCGATGATTGTTACTCTCCCAACAAAAACAACCAGAGAGAATTGAAATGAGAAATTAGCGAATGTATGCCAAGAAATACTCAACTTGAACCCCAGATCTAAGTCAAATACCCACGTTTTAGAAGTATATTATCAATTAGGGAGTATTTTATCAGAAAAAGGATGGAATGAACCGGCAAAGGGAAGCCTTTGTTCATATTTTTTTGACTGAAAAAAAGAAAACGGTATTAAAAATATCAAAGAAAGTACATCAACTATTTATGACAAAAGGAGAATGGTACATACCAATGTTAGAGTGTATTAACATATCCATCTTAGGGATGTATGAAGAAGACTTTACTAATTTGTTACTTATAGAGGCACAACTTCGGAAGAAAGAGGAAATGGATCTAATGATGTACGATTCGCCGGAGCTCATCTTTTCAAGCGAGGGATAATGTTATGCTTGGAAATGGAAATTGATATTATTAGTTTTATTTTCTATTATTTTTGTATAAACGTTGTTATCTATTTGGACGGTATATATTACATTATTATTTTATTTTGGGTATATGAATGGGATTTATGGGGCTTGGTTAGATGGGATAACCCCTAGTGAGAGATAATAGCCCTTGGTGAGGGTTAAAAAAGCCTGGATGGGGAAAATTAACCCTAGTGAGGGAAATTAACCCTCAGAAAGCGTTTGATGTTCCCTGTAAGGGCAAATGACCCCGTTATGAGTTAGAAAGTATAAAAAGGAAAGGTTTTTGATAAATAAAGGGGGAGAAACGTGTGTGTTTATTTGTTTATAATTAAATATGACTAAGTGCGCTATCCCTACAAATGTATTAAATTGAAACGTTAATAAATAAACCTCATTTGTTCTAAATATTGTTAGACAATTATATTTTTTTTTAATACTTATCTGAAACCTAAACGTAATTATTGATCTATACGCGAAAACCTTGTGTTCAAGTTTGTTCTTGATCCAAGCTAAATCGATTCAAGTTTAGTAAAGCTCTCCCCGGATCGTAACACCTGCAAAAAATCCAAAGAAAAAAAGCGCGTAATTCCACTGAAACAAAAAACAAAAGTACAGATTAAGACCAAAACATTCAAAAATTACAAGAAAATACATTTGTTGCATTAACTTAAAATAGTACACACGAAATGTATCAGCATCTGAATCATATCAGAAACGAATCGTATTAGTTTCAAAACATCTAAGTATCTAAGTAACTACAGTATAAAAATGACAAACGAAAATTTCCTTTACGGAATTAGAAGGAAATAATGCACGTTCCCACGTATAAACTATTATACAAACACAAGCACAACAGGCAAAAAAGTTATACCGCGCAAACAAATAAAAAAAACCATCCAGCAAAAACGTAGATTTTTTATTGATCGAGCGTACGTAAGTTCATTGAATTCTTGAATGTGTGTTGTGTTTGTGGCGCAGATTTACTGAACCACGAATCAGATTTCAAGGTCAGGTGCAACGTAACACGATCAAGAAAATTCTTCGTTTTGTCAATAAAACGTTTACGTTG